TAACCCCTGAAAGCAAGGGGACTTTCCTGGTATTCTTGGAATCATGTATTCAGGAGGAACTAAAGTAGAATATAAAGGTGACCTCTGACCCTAGGAAGTAGGTATTTTTTAACAAGATTATTTCATGCAGCCTCCAAGTTTAGAAAAATGGCATCAAATAATGATTGGTTTACAAAAAGTTGCTAAGTTGGAAAGGCTAGTAGGCACACTCTTTTCTTTCCCAATATTTCCACATAAGGAGAGCTTCATCAGGTTCACTGATTATCAATAATCAAAGAAAGTAAAACACAAAAACAAGCATGTATCAGAAGAAACAATGCTGAAGAACCACATTGAGCCTGGATACTGGATCTAAACAGAGCTTTGTGCGACAAATAACAGGATACATGTCCTTTATATTGCCCTACCAAGATAAGAAAAAGAAGACAGAAGCATAAATTAAGAAGTTGTTATTTGACAGATGATAATTTGATTCAACTTTGGTCAATTAAAAAATAAATTAAAAGCCATTTCAGCATGGAACCTCGTCTACGAAAATCCTCACCAAAAGAAAATATTTCAAGAGTCTCATTTCAATCTCTTCAATATTAAGCATTTTTACCTGCATATTCATTACAGATATTATAACAAACATGAACCCTATCACAATTTCTGTAAATTCACATCAGGCTTATATTGGACATTATATGATTTTGGCTTAGTATTAAGATATGAAAGTAAGGCATCACATGACAGAACTAAGTCACATCCTTATAAATACAGTATAGCCTAAATCTTCCAAAAATCAACAGAAAGGAAAGACAATTAGCACATTATTGATATTCATGTTAATTTTGTTCTAATTTCCAAAGCTATTCATTTTATTTGTTAACAATTCTTTGGCTGAAGGGTTTAATCAAATAAAATAAGTTTATAATATTTCCCTCAGTTACGTACTTAACACTGCTTAAGAAAAAAGTATGCTAACTTAAGGATAGGATAGTAAACTAAAAAATAATAATGGAATTGCTACATTTTGTTCCCTGTTTTGACCATTAAAAGAAAAATCTCTCTTCACACAGCTCTGGATATTAACTAGTGGTCAGGTGTGTATTTTTGCACTTCCTCTCATATTATTTTCTACCTGGCCTTAGTAAATAACTCATGTCCTTATGACTAGGTAAAGAAAGTATCAACCTGGTTAATAATAGGATTAAAATTTGGTGACTTCTGGACAACTTTTAATTTTCTCTGTTATCTCTCATCAAATCTTGGAACATTGTTAAAATACACATTTTGTTTCAGTAGGTGTTGAGTAGGTCCAGTAATTGCACATTTCTAATAATCTCTTTCGAGATGCCAATGCTGCTGGTTCATGGACCACACTTTTAAAGTCAAGGTTGCAATCACATTAGGAAAATATTCAATTTTCATTTCATCAAATTCATACTGGATACAATGTTTATAGAGTCATATAATATTAACCTGCAACAACCCCTGAAAAGAAAAAAAAATCACACAAAGGGAAATAGGATAACTTCCGTGTTTGTAAAACCCTTTCCTATATACTTTGAACATATTCTGCAAATCCTAATTGTGCAACTAGTTCAATAGCCAATGCTTCTCAGCTATGCTGACACTTCCCATCTATAGTAATTCTTTCTCAACCCCTAGATTTCCTTACATCCTGCTCATTCATTTATTTTTCATATTTTCAGTGTCCACAAGTACTCTTGGAAGCTCAGCAAGAGCTCATCTCTCATTTCAGCGCCATATTCTGCTTAAGTAACAACAATGGCCCCTTGCACAAATGGGAAAATGAGCATTCTTTAAGAGCATCTCTCCTGAGTTCTCACCAAAAGGTGCCACTTCTTTGCAGTCATTGCTCAAATCTGACTTGGAGAAATATTTGCCTGATTTCATCAGTGTATTCATTCAGCTTTGCCACATGACATCCAGTAAGATTACTTTTCAAGAAGAGAAAATTATTGGAAATCACAGTCTAACAAGTCCACCTGAAGAAATTATGTTCTTTAGAAAACAAAAATTTTGTTCACTGTTACATGCATGTATGTGTACAGGCACACAATACAAATTAAGTTTACAGATATGGAGAGCTGAAAGAGCAGAGTGAGAAAGTTTATTAATAGCAGAAATACATAATAGAAGATTAAACAGCTCTGGCGTCTTCTAAATAATGTTTTTTGTACCTGAAAATAATACTTTTTAGAGGTAGCATTGGCAAAATGCTTAAAGATATGTATGTTGAAATAAGAGAGCCTGAGTGTGAATACCAGTTCTACTTTTCAATAGCCGTATGAGATAGGACACTTACCCATTCTAGATCTCAATTTCTTCACAATAGTTTCAGCTTCAAAAATGTGTATTAGTTTTTGCTGCATAGCAAAAAAACACAAAAAAACAAAATCACATAGGAATAAAATAATAAGCATTTGTTTCTCACTCATAGGTCTATGGGTTTACAGGTTGGACAGGGAAGTTCATCTGTGGATTAAGTCCAAGTCAGTTCCATGTGTCTCATTCTGGGGCTTGGATTGAATGGCAGTGGCTACCTGGTTGCAAGTATTCCTTAGAGTGGAGTCTTGAAGTTTCCAGAGTGTTAAGCAGTAAAATGTGCTGCTTCTTAAGACTCTGATTCTATACAATAACAATATCACGTTAACTCACATTTGATTGGCCAAATCAAATGACATGCCAGGCCCAACATCAAGGAGATGTGAAAGGAAATGCCTTTCCCATCAGTGGTAAGCAGAGAGGCAATGACAGTTTTCTGAACAATAATCTGATCTTCCCCAACATCTTGTTAGGGTTTTATGATGCATTTCAGATGCTTGGAAACCGGTATACAGTAAATACTCAGCAAATGCTTAGAAAAGAGAGAGATTTAAAGCAACACTGAGGCAGAACCTAGCTGACTGTTCACCAGCCACCAAATTTACCAGTTGCTCTTGCGTTTGGTCCAGCCATTTGTCTGAGTTCTGGCCAATGGAAAGTGGAACAAAGTAATTACTAGACTTCGGCCTGGCTCACACAAAATCTCCCTGACAGTTCCCCATGAGGCTTGAAGCACAGGTCCCAGAGGAAGACCCAGAAGTTCTAGACAAGGGCGTCCAGCAGAATTCTGTGAGGATGAAAGTGTTCTCCACCTGCATTCCCCAATAGTAGCCAAAAAGCCTATTGAGCACTGCAGCCGAGGAGCTGAATTTTTAATTTTAATCCATTTAAAGTTATGACTACCATACTGAATTCTGCAGTTCCAGGGAAGGACAAAGATTCTAGTTAATATGAGCCTGCAAGGGTGCACACCAACCACCTGAGTGAACTGTGACAGGAGCAAGAAGTAAAGAAATAAATTTTTATCTTATTGAACAACTGATATTTGGAGGTGGTTTGATGGCGCTGTTAATCTACTCTAACAGGGACTATATATAATAGAATTAAGCATACAGGTTTTACCTAACTTCACGTCCCTAACGTTATTAGGGGTTTCTGTTTTGTCCCCATTAGTCTAGAATCCTCTAAAGTGAGAGAGGAAGGGTAAGAAACACCTATCAGCACCTTTATTGCTAAACTTCCCTCAGCTCCGAAGATCTTTCTCTAGTCTAGGGAAGGTTCTAGAAAAGAACCGTTTTTGTGACATCACGTATTTTCCCCCTAATTTTGTTGTCATATATTCCTACATTGTATCCTTTAAAGTAAAAATGGCAAGAATGTTCGGTCTGTGGCTATGCTCTGCTATTCTGAGACTGTCCTCCCCTAAACAATGGGTGCTTCTTGTGTAACTACCTTGAGTGAGACAGAACAGTGCCTCCATATATAAGGAAACAGTATTTAATGGTTCACATTTTTTCAGTATTTGTCTTCACCTAATACTGAGTAGTGAGTTAGTCTTCTGAACTTAATCATTTAACTGACAGTAAAGTAAGTATTCATCCTTATGTACTTACCTATAACATTTCTTATAAGGATAAAGTTTGAGTTTGCTTCATGCAGGATTTTCCTTTTGTTTATATGGAAAACAGCATCACAAATTGAAAACCTGTCACGAAAAATTTGTGCTATAATAGTAAATGTGGACTTATCAGAATTTACTGTTAAATGTAATTGATGTGTTTAATTTATAGAATGGAAAGGGTTTGAGAGTGTAAATGAGGAATATTATTATTTTTCTAAGATATCAGTGGTATTTACTCATGAATAACCACTCATTCGAATATTTAAGTGAAACTGAGACTTATTCAAAATATTGCAGCCAAGGCAATTATCAAAGCTGCTTCATACCAATTATGATTTTATAGACAAGCTAGCACAAGCCATTGTGTCCTTGCCACACAGAATTCAAAGATTGGAGAAAAAAATCATCTCTTGAATTTATAATAAAAGTAATCGAGTATATGGTAATGAGTAGTTAGGATTTTGTTGATTTATAATTTTCAAGGTGGCTTTCAGACTGCAGCGTATTCAGCTCTCACAAGTAACTCTGTGAGGTACGCACAATGGTGTTTTTTCATTTAAGCGAAGCAATTAGACTCTGGAGAGGTAAATTATTTACTTGATATCGCAAGTCACAGGTAGTCAAAAGTAGAGCTGGAATTACATGATTTGAATAATAATACAATGGTTTCTCTACCTCAGAATTAAAGTAACAAAATCTGAGTGAGACTTTTACTGTACTTAGATATGGATTCTACATATTAACAGCACAACTTAATTAAGCACCATCATAAAATAGTGCTGTGATGGGGCTCACAGATTGTAATTTGCTAGGGCTTCAATAGATAGCCTTATTTTCTAGGAAATACCTTATTCTAGAATATTTTTAAATAAATATAGCCTGTTTTTAATAATATTCCCAGTCTTATTTACACTACTAAAGTGCTTACTAATCTATTTTTCTGATATTTTGCGAAGATAAACATGTGCCTACTTCTTTTCTGAAATATCATAAATCTCATGTTAGTCCAATCATGATTAATGAGGATTTATTGGATACCAACATATGAGTCTTCAATAAATGATGCTCATTCTTTCTAACTGGACTGCATAATTCAACAAGGAAGAGTGTAAACGATGATAAATAGCATGCTGACACGATAGGCATCCGAGTGACTGTTTTGTCCTCACAGATCTTCAAAGTTTTGAACAAATACAGAATTCATTACAGCCGCTCTTCAAATAAAACTAAAAGAAAAAAAAAGATCAGTTCAATTTCTATAAGCAAGATATTGGACTTACTTCAAACAGGCTCATGGTAGCTGTTCTCTGGGGAGAAGAGTTGTTAACTCAATAGCATCAGATCCTGAGATGAGGGGGAGAAAAACAAACCAATCAAGGCTAATGGTTCCTGATGAACCCAGATTAAACACAGAGATTGGCCTGGTTTAAATATACTCGAGGGAGCAGTCCTTCAGATAAGAGTATCAATTTTCACTCTGGGTCAATAGGATGAAGAGTGTGCGGTTAAAAATCAGATATTGCAAATGTATACAGCTTGAGCCAAGATGCCTGCAGGGGGAAAAAAAACTTGGCAATCAGAAGACACTCTGAGAGTACATGAGGAATTATAATCAATATAGCGAAATAAATTTTTTAAATTAGAGAATTGAGAAAGATAGTTTAAAGTAAAAATGCAAACCAGTAACTTTTCTACATATCTTAGAAAATGGAAAAAAATATATCGATGAAAAATATGAAAATCCTTATGTGTAAAATTGGTCCAAAACATCTAGGATTAAAATGAATAAAACTTCAGAAGTGTTGAATAAAAGAGACACTTGAATAAAGTAAGAGATATCACTGCGCATTCATGAGAAGTTTAAATATTTTTAAAATTTAATATTTTTCTCCAAATTTAGTCTAGGTTTAAAGAAAATCTAATCAAAATATCAATATTATTTTTGTTAATCTTAGATGATACTGAAGTTTATTAAAGAATATGTTGATAAAAGGCAAATAAGTTAAAGGCAAATAAGCTTAGTTAAAGGTTTTCTATAAGGATGTTCAATGCAGCATTGTTTAAAATAGTGAGAAAATAAAATTATTTAAATATTTACATGAATTACAATGGCACTGATGGCCATGACTTTTTATGCATTAAAAATGTTTTATAATAAATACAGTGTTAAGCTACAAAAATGGTATGTATGTTATAATGATGATTTTTGTTTTGAAAATAGCCTGGATATATATAATAGTTGTAAGTATTTGCTGTTAGGAAAAACACTAGTCGAAATCCTCACTGCTTCCCCCTGAGGGCAGATAAATCTCCCAGGATGGAAGTGGAAAGGGCTGTTCACTATCTTGTTTAAGCCCCAGACTTCAAGCAATTCCCAACTTTCATGATCCCATTTAATTGAATAATCATAGCTTTTGTCCACTCTGCTTACCAACATATCTGTGTGTTTGTCTGTTTATTTTTATATCTGTCATTGCTAAGGTTTTGAGCTAAGGAAAGCTACAGCACAAGTTTATTCCATAAACTGGAAACAAAACTGAAAAAAAAACACATTAGAAATATATTTTGTCAACCCCAGGCAGTAAGGCTTACCTCTTTGTTGCAGTGCTCAAAGAATCACAAATGCTCTTAATTTTCTTTTTTGAGCTCATCCGTGTTATCAGAATTTTCTACTCTTGACATGACTAGCTTCTGTAATTATAAAATCCACAATATGTGTTGTTGGTTTTAATATACCTAATAATATCTTCTAAAATAATGAAAAACTAGGAACATTTAAAAAATATTTTTACTTTTATTATTCTAGATTAGTTATAGATGGAAAAAACATTTTCTAGTAAGAAATATAATGAAATCTATGCCACAACTGATTTATGAGGCTTCTTTCTTTTTTAATATATCTTCATTGATTTCAGAGAGAGGAAAGGAGAGGGAGAGAGAGAGAGACATCCATGATGAGAGAGTCACTGATCGGCCGCCTCCTGCACGCCCCCGACTGCAGATCGAGCCCGCAACCCGGGCATGTGCCCTGATCAGGAATCGAACCCCGATCACCTGGATCCTAGGTCAATGCTCAACCACTGAGCCATGCCCGGCCGGGCTATGAGACTTTTTGAATACAGTGTTACTGCACATCTCTTTGAGAATAAAAACTGTGTCAAATGCATTTTTGTGCTCCTTAGTGCAGCCAGCACAGGGCATTGTACATAGCGCTCAATGAAACTTGAGTTGAATTTAACTCAAGTATTTTAAGACTGACTTACTATACACCTCAGTCTCATTTTATCAACCACCTAATATATCCTAGTTTGACCTACTTGGGGATATGTTTTAACTCTCTAAAATTATTTTTTTTAAGATTTCTGAAAAAAAGCATATATCATGTTTAAGATAAAAAAAAATTGAGGCATATTTGTGAACCTGTTAACCATAAACTCTGGTTTATTATCTTAAAAAACATACAAGTAGCATTTAGTGCCAAAATGCTCTGTGAGCAGATATGTATGCTCAAATGAATCCCTATGTGCTTCAGATTCAATTAATCATGCCATTTGAATTTTTTATCTTTAAATATACTTTGCTATCATTATTTCAGGGGGGAAAAAAATGAACTTGAGATCTTAGAGCATATAGCTCCATGTAGAAATGACAACAAGGTAGTGCTAGTGTCTTTTTATGTAGTGAAAAGATGCTGTGTTTCTTCCCTCATTCCCAAGCAGGTTAAAATAAATATGGTAAGCTGGTTATCGGTTTCAGGTTAGAGAGCCATACCTTCCCAAAGGACACCCAAACTGGACTGCTAAGAAAAATGGGTCACCGGGACAGAACTTATAGAAGGGTGTACATTTACATAGTGTTTCAAGGGATTTCTGTGATTATTTTAGGGTTCTGAAAATATGCAATATGAATGTGTTAAAACCTATAACCTGTCCCTCTATTCATTATTGACTTAGGTTTACTATAAAAACAAAAGTTTCTATCTGTCGAAAATATGTACATTCCACATAGGGTTCTAGAAACTAAGCATGGAAAAAATCTAATTTGACTGGACTGCTGATTGATTTCCTAAAGTCCCATTGCTTTCGATTTCTCAGTGATGACATACTTTCCTGCAGTCAATATGCATCTCTTAATTTGTTTGCAGGAAAATTGGCCTCTTTTGCCTTCTCAAACCACACTTTGTAATCAATGGCTATGTTCTGAATGCAACTCAGAAATGTCTTTAGAAATCGAGGATAGTTTCAATAAGTTATTTTTAGCCTGGTGTCCCTCTAGGAACTTATTATTACCATAGCATAGCAACAAATTATATTTTTTCTTCCTTGCATCTGCAAACCAACACAGATTCTATTACTATACACCAAAATTTACAGAGCAGTCACATGCTATGAATATGTTTTGTTCAATAAAATCTATTCCCCAATCATTTCTTGGAAACATGCCGTAGTGACATTATTCTTGTAATAGTTCCTATCTATTAAAACATAGAAATTGATTCTGCAGTCAGTTGGCCTACCTAATAAAGTAAATCTTCAACATCTGTACATGGAAAGAAAGTCTTAATTTTCAGGAAAACCAAGGGCCATCTGATACTATTAAAAGATCTCCAGTGAATGAAGTACTTAGGCTTGGGATTTAAAGTCAAAATTAGATTACAGTAATAACTGACAACGATAGCTTAGAGTAAGCTCTTTCACTTGTATTGAGTGCTTCTGTTCCACAAAATAGTTGATCTTTCCCAGAGATTGGTTAATGCATTATACTGTTATTTTATTTGAAGTACAGTGTATTTGTACCACTTCAGTTATCCACCTGTGAATTAAACCTCACAAGTAGATGGCCTACACAAGCAAGCCCACCTTGGTATAGATCTCTGAATTTGAGCACAGCACCTTAGCAAGGATTTATCTTTGACTGGGTCTGTCCTGAAAAACCAGGCCTTGTAAGGAACAACAAATGACACCACCTTAAAATCCTACAATAACAGTGGTAGGAAATTCTACATTAATGTCTAGCCACAACATAATTTCACAGTTAACTCATTTGGACAAAAGACATAAGAAACAACCAAAGCCAAAACCAGAATGAAGATACTGCCAGCACAATTACCAGAAAGTATAGTTCAAGGCTCACAAGAGGATCACTTAAGTTATGCTATAGAATTTGCCAAGACTGAGGCTCAGTCGTAGAGCCACTGATGATCACCCACAAGCATGGTTTATTCACTCAGTTACTTGTCTAACACTAACTGGGCACCCGCACTGTGCCAGGGACTGTTCTAAGAGGGGATCCAGAAGTGAACAACCTAGACGAAGATCCATCCTCCCGTTGAGCTTCCGTTTTGGGTGGGACAATGTACACAGAGTATACATGCACATGCAGAGCGATGGCAAGTGTTCTGAAGAAACAGCAAAGCACTGAAATCTCAACAACCACGTTGCATTATGCCTCTTGGAAATGTACTTTAAACCAACTTCAGGGCATGTTTTTAGAGTTTTGAAACAAAGAGACAACTTTTGCAGAGATCTCATACTTAAGTAACTTTTTGAACTTATTCATAGAATTGGTGCAAGATCCAACATTATTTAATTCCAGGTTTGTGCTTAGATGTATGTCTTAGCTTTCAGCTTTCATTAGCCATAGGGTATCTTTAAGCTTAAGGATTACAGTATTACCTTAAGAAGAGTATTAGAATAAAACTCAGTAAGTGATGATTCTAAAGATGCAAGAGATCATGAACAAATTTTAACCTTTGTGTCATTTTTCTCTAACTAGCAAATGCAGATAAGCTGTTTCAAATAAATATAAAGAAGTATAGTCAAACTTTTGTTCTCAAACGCCTCCCATCTCAAACAATTTGCTTCTCAACCCAACAACCCCTTCATGCTGATACCTATATGATCAGTCACTTGTATGAGTCATTTTACTGCTGCTAACACCTCAGGAAATTGTGCTCTGTACATTTTGTGTTCTTTTGCTTTTGTTGCTGCTTATTATTATTACATTTTCATTTTTACTGTACATTTCCTTTCCTTTTTGTTTAATTTTCATTTACATTTCATGTCCTTTCTGTTTTTAAAATGTTTGTTTATAGATTAACTATAAAATGTTATTTATAGATTATTTATAGATTAGGCATGTAGTGTATATAGAAAAGGCTAAAACAGGAAATCATTTGGGAGTCTGGAATGGATTAATTCAGTTTACATTATTTCTAATGGGAAAAAAAAAATACAGTTTTCAGACAGCCTTCCAGAACGAATTAAGTTTGAGAACTGAAATTCAACACATCATGTACCAGGTACTGCAATTAGCATAGAGGTACATTGAGGAAGACAACAAACACCACATAATTCATTATAGGCGTTAAAAAAGTAGAACCCTAGCCCTAGCCCATTTGGCTAAGTGGTTAGAGCGTCCGCCCAGACACTGAAGGGTCTCAGGTTTGATTCCCATCAAATTGATGTGTCTCTCTCACACTGATGATTCTCTCTCTCTCTCTCTTTCCTTCCACTTTCTGAAAAGCAATGGAAAAAATATCCTTGGGTGGGGATTAAAAAAAAAAGTAGAACAGTACTCTATTCTAAAAGAAAGATAAGCTACTCTAAAACTTCAGCATAGACTTAAAAGATGAGTATATGTTAGTACATTTACTAAGTGGTGTATCTGAACTCTTTGAGTTTCCCTGGAAGAAAGGCAATGAATATTCATTTGTATGATAACAAAGTAGTGGGAGTCATATTATTATAATGAGATATCAAAAATTTACAGTAAGTCCAAACCATATATAAATTATATCTATAAAAATAAGTGAAGACATGTTCATATCTTCCCTACTAAATTATTGAGTAAAATGTGAACCAACCAATTAAAATTTAAAACATGTCTAAATCTCACAGGTACTTTCACCGAATGTTTTGCTGGCATTCTCCCTATCTCCTCTTGTGTCTCTTATTTTTCACTTCACTCTCTCACACAACCACACTAGTTACTCAGCAGCGTGGTCATAATAAAGTAGCACCTGAAATTGTTCATTTTTGCACTCAAGTCATTGGAGAGTAAAGAGCTATAAGCAATTTCACTTTACAAAGCCTTCTAGTTGAAAGAGAACAAATGCAACCACCTATAAACTTTGTTTTAAATATTTTTCATAAATTTTATAAGCTTAGTTCACTAAAATATTCTCTAATTTGATTTAAATATAAACTTTTAATGATGAAAGCAGATATATATTATAGTGATAGAACAAAGAAATGAGAATTCTAGGGCTCACAAAAGCTACATCAATCTTTCATTAAAAGCTTCAGAATTTAACTGATCTCACTTAGTAATAACCTAATTAGTGAAAGCAAAGAAATAATAACATTCATTAATCTATTATCTATTTTATATAAATTATATAATGAAATTCATTTACAGCCATAAGAATACAGGTTATAAATGACTTTGATAATGTGTTAACACACTGGGAAACCTGACTTAACTTGTAAGTACATATTTCTTCACTGAAATGTACAAAATCCATTCATCAAATTGTTCCATTTACATTCATTTCTTACCAGTAGGAAAAAGGCGACGAGGGCAGAGGCAGAGAGATGAGAAGGAAAGGGGAGAGAGGAAGAAAAGAAAGGATCCCTGACATTATAGTCCTGAACCAAATGTTAGGCTTTTCAAATACCTAACACAAAATG